TTTTAGCTTTAAAATGTCCCTATGTGTATCCTGTGGTCAATGCCGTATTTCAGTAGCGACCCTATGGTATCACCTACTTTAGCTTAAACTAGGTAACTCTGGATTATTCAATAATGCCGTGCTTCGCCCGAGGAAGTCCTGATACTTATATTAAAAAAATGCTCTCAAGCCTTTTGAAACTTTTAATCGGAGGGGTTCGTTTGCGATGTCGGTCGAAGTTGAACCGACAGACTACGAGCAATGGAAGTATTACCGAGGGTGCCTTTACGAACTAACTCCAATTAAGCGCACACTTAGTTTTGTAGTGTTACTTTGTACAAGGCTCGTTTAGCATGAGGCAGTACGATGAGAATTAACTTTCCTTGCCTTGGTGGTACAGAATACATTAGTTAAACCTCTTCGAGCAAGCACCACTTCGAATGCGTGAGTAGCATTGATGCCACCGCGATCTTGACTAGCTCCATACAGGGCGTACGGTGACCATAAAATATGGATGCGGATTTTGTAGATCACATTGCCGATTATGTTTTGCTTTTAGGAATCTCAGATCAAAATTATGTTAGAGACACAAAGTGAAGATCGTGCAAACGTCCTGGAGCGTGAGGAAGTGTCCATTGGTGAGCAAAATCCCGTTACTGACGCATGGTCTGCAACGTGTGTTGCGTCTTGTGGGTTGGAGTTGTGGGATGAAAGTAAATGGCTAGTAATTTGTTTTCGACAGACCACCCAGAGACGACGAATATCGTAGTCGCTCAGCTTAGTGTCAAAATTTGTGTTTCACTTACCAAATCATGGAGACAATCAAATCTAAGGTTGGGTTCTGAGTGTCACCGCTGCAATGCTGTTTTCCTCTTACTAAATTTTATCAAGGCCACCATCAACTTAATCCGTTTGCTTCTCACACCTCTTAGCTTGCAATTAGTACTCACACGTGCCGAGCGAGTTGGAAATATCGCCATAACCGTCGATATTGTCTATCGCACTTCACAAAGCTTTAGCTGACACTGGATGCCAAAATTTGTTCCCACAACCAGACCAAAACTCCAGCCAAAA